CCCCTTCCCCTCAGATCTGCCTCCCCCTCAGACACCCCCACAGACACCCCTTCCCCTCAGATCTGCCTCCCCCCTCAGACATCCCCACAGACACCCTTTCCCCTCAGATCTGCCACCCCCTCAGACACCCCCTCAGACATCCCTTCCCCTCAGATCTGCCTCCCCCCTCAGATACTCCCTCAGACTCCCCTTCCCCTCAGATCTGCCTACCCCCTCAGACACCCCCAGACACCCCTTCCCCTCAGATCTGCCTCCCCCTCAGACACCCCCACAGACACCCTTTCCCCTCAGATCTGCCTCCCCCTCAGACACCCCCTCAGACACCCCTTCCCCTCAGATCTGCCTCCCCCCACCCCCACAGACACCCTTTCCCCTCAGATCTGCCTCCCCCTCAGACACCCCCCCTTCCCCTCAGATCTGCCTCCCCCCTCAGACACCCCCCAGACACCCCTTCCCCTCAGATCTGCCTCCCCCTCAGATACCCCCACAGACACCCCTTCCCCTCAGATCTGCCTCCCCCCTCAGACACCCCTACAGACACCCCTTCCCCTCAGATCGGCCTCCCCACTCAGACCAGCCCTCCTTTCAGACCCCCTACCTCAGATCCCCTCTCACTCAGTCACCCCTCTGCTCAGACCCCTTATGCCCCTAAGGTACTCAACCCTTCCCCCTTTCCACAGCCCCTGCCTCTCAGACACCCACACCCCACTCCACACCCCATCCCACACCCAGTTCTACTCAGATTCGGTGCCCCTCAGACACTCCTCTTTGGGCTCCCCTTAGATACTTGAGCCCCTCACAGGCCACCCCCTCAGACCCACCTCTCCAGCACTTTCCTCAGACTCCCTCCTTTAGACCCCCCCAGAGACCACGCCCATCAGCGCCCCCACACCTTTCCTCCCAGACCCCCAGCTGCTCCCCACAGGTGCCAACAGCCTCAGAGCCCCGCAAACAGCACCTTGCCCCAACACTGGACAAGACTTTTCAGGACCCCGTGTCCTGCAGACACCAGCATCCTTCCCCACAGCCTACCCAGGATCTCCCCCATGTGCCCCCCAGCCTCATTGGCCCCCTGGGGTTCCCCCTGCCCCAGGCTCCCCTACTCCTACCAGCCCCCATCCCCTCCCTGGCTCCCTGCGTCCTTGGTCTCTCCTCCCTTCTGTGTCGCCTCCCACCAACCCTCTTCTCTCTCCTCCACCTGGGGTCCCCCCTCTGTGGCCCCTGCACCTCTCCCCAGCGCCCTCTCTCTCCCGCTGTCACTCAGTCCCTTCCCAGTCTCTCTCTTGGTCGCCCACCCCCACCTCTTTTCCAAGTGTCTCTCCCCGGCCCCTCTCCTGTTTCTCCCTCCCTGTCTCCCTGTCTCTGCTGTCTGTGTCTCTCCCTCTCCCACCTCTGCCCCACGTCCCGTCTCGTCTCCCCCCCTTCCCGCCTCCCGCTCTCCCTCTCCCGCCCCTCCTTCCTCCCCCGCCCCCACCCCCCGTTGGCCCCTCTCATTTCCGTGTTGGTTTTGATTTCTCTTCCCGACGCTTTCAACTCCCCGCCGCCTCCTCCGGACACGTTATAACGAGGAGCCGTGGGATCGGCGCTCCGGGCCCTGCTCCCACGCTCCCCCCGCTGTCTCTCACATGCGTCTCTGCCATCTCCAGGTCTCTGCTGCCACTTCTCCCGTCTCTGTGCCCAGCCCCGTCCTGCTTCACGCCCTAGGGGGACCTCGGCCCCCACCCCACCCCTCCCGCTGGGTCCCCGCCCTGCCCCACTCGCCCTGCCCTGGCTGGGCCCTGTGCGTTCTGGGTCCCCACATCTCTCTGTCTCTGTGTCCCCGCATCTCTGGGGCTCCACAGGGCTGTTTTTATGTCCAGGGTCTCCACACCCAACCTCGCTGCCTCTGTTTCCTCGTCCCCACATCCCCTCGTCCCCATGTCCCTGTCCCTGTGTCTCTCTGTCTCTTTCTTCATCTCCACACCCATCCTCGTGTCTCTGTGCCTCTGTCTGTGTGTCTCCATCTCCACGTCTCTGTTTCTGTCCTGGTGTTCGGTCTTGGTCTCTTGGGGTCCCTTTGATCTTGCCCTGCCCCTGGCACCCCCCTGGCCCCATTGATCGCTGATCGACCAGCCAGCAGAGGGAGTAGGGCCTGCGGCCCCGGGTCTACAGGGCCGGACAGGGGCCTGGTAGGCCGGCTGGACAGACAGACAGACAGCCGGCCCGGTAGCTGCGGAGGGGGAGCAGCCGCAGCCCCCACCCCTCCCCGCCGGCCGGCGCGGTGCGGATGGGGACTCCGGGCAAGCTTTAATTTTTAATTTTATTTTGCTTCCTCCACCCCCCTCCGCCCCCCATCTCCACCGCCCGCAGCCATGGCACCGAGTGTGTGTGCGCATGTGAGTGAGGCAGCGTGCAGGGCGCTGGGCAGCGAGAGGCCGCCTCCTGCTCTCCCTGCCAGCACAACCGCACAGACCATCCAGCCCGGCACGCACACCCCTGTGCCACCCAGCGCACGCTGCACAGACACACACAGCGACACTAGCACACACCACCACCGCCACACAACACACATCTCCCAGATGCATGTGTCAAAGTCACACGCACCAACACTGGCACACACAGTCACACACACATCAGCACAGTCACAGACGTTCACTCAGAAACACAGACACATACACAATACACCAATTCGATCCCTCACAGAAACAAAGACACACAATCACAAATCCCAGACACGCACCCTACATAGACACACGGTCACGCGCTGAGGCTCCCAATCAAATACAGAAACACAGATCTACAGCACACACGCAGAGACATCACACAGGGACACACCCAGACACACAAGTGCACGGCCACACACCAGTGACGCAAAAGTACGCAAGGTCACACCAGAGACCCTTGAGTGAGCACACCTGTACTTAGTCAGGCGTGGAGCGGTAGAGGTGTGCACACCAACACCACCCTAGACAGCCACAGCCAGACCCCAGGCACGCCTGGCCACACACACACACACACACACACACACACACTCACACTCGCACAAAGATCCTAGGACCAGCACAGCCTGTACGGCAGCTCCCGCAGACACACACTCACACACAGACAAGACACACACAAAGCTCAGTCGGGGTGGGGGGGCCCTCCGAGCTAACCCCACCCCAGGGTCCCTGCTGCTCCTGGTGCCATCTGTCCATCTGTCTGCCTGTCCCTCCCTCCTTTTGTGGACTTCTCAAGCACACCTCTGCATGTGTGTGTGTGTGTGTGTGTGAAGTGTGCACTTGTCTCACACCTGCCAACGTCACTGTCTCTCATGACACAGGTCTCGGCTGTCCCCCAGCGCCCGTCTGAGTGTCAGCGTCTCTGTGTCCCTCTCTGTCTCTCCCACCGAAGGTCTTTGTTGCTCATCTGTCTGCCTCTCTCTCCAAATATCCCCATCTCTGAGTGTCTCTGTCTCTACCTATCTCTGTCTCTGTCTCTGTCTCTGGGCCTCTCCGACTGTCTCTCTTTGCCTCATCTCCTGCCCCCCCATCACCCGGCCCCGGGCTGGGGTTTAACCAGTTGTTTTGATTTCTCTAAGCTGTGCCGGCCGCCTCGGGAGCCGCCTCGGGCCTCGCACCCCCCAGCCCCTTCATCCCTCGCCCGGCCCCCCACCTCCCCTTAACACAATCTGCACAAGTGGAATGAAAATTGATTTTTTTTTTAAATTTCATATCTTCTCC